CCCTCATGAGGACAGGCTGAGATAGTTGAGGTTGTTCAGCCTGGAGAAGAGAAGGCTCTGGGGAGACCTTATAGCAGCCTTCCTGTACCTAAAGGGGGCTACAGGAAAGATGGGGAGGGACTCTCTCAGGATGTATAGTGATAGGACAAGGGGTAATGGCTTTAAACTGAAGGAGAGTGGATTTAGATTAGATGTAAAAGGAGAGTAGTGAGACACTGGAACAGGTTACTCAGAGGTTGTGGCTGCCCCCTCCCTGGCAGTGTTCACGGCCAGGTTGGACGGGGCTTTGAGCAACCTGGTCTAGTGGAAGGTGTCCATGCCCATGGCAAGGGGGTTGGAACTAAAAAATCTTTAAGATCCCTTCCAAATCAAACCAGTCTATGACTCTCTGAAAACAGAGTCCTCCAGTCCTAGAGGAATGAACCTGTTTGGTGGGATGTGCCAAAAAAAACCCATGGAGAGAAAACCTTCATATACCACAGGAGACTGACAAAGATAAATTTTCACTGTGTGTGAAGCTGTCTTCAGCCAGCCTGGAGACCAGTGGCTGGCTGAGCATGTGACAAGAAGTCAACCCAAAGAAAGAAGGAAAGGAATCTGTCATCATTCATACAAAGCATGAGCCCTTACATAGATCTTTGAAAGCACACCCACTGTGCATCAGTAATAACAATGCTACTTCACTCTTTATTGGTTGGAGGAGGAAAAAAAAAAAATAAATAACACACTCCTGGCTCTGCACAATAACTAGCTACTACTGGGACAGTGACTCAGAAGTCACTTCCTGCAAAGCCCGAAGTTCACCTTGCACAGCCTACTGCATCCCCTTCATATAGGAAGAACCAGGATGATTCCTGGTTGCTCGTCAGGGCCGGCCAGCCAGACTGGAGTCTCATAGCTGATTCCAGATGCAGATGCCAGTAGAACAACTGACATGACTTGCTGGTCCCCAGGGCTATGTATGCACATGTACAACCTGTAAGGGTACACGAAGAGAGGTGACACGGTGGCTTTGTTAGTGCCTAGTCCACAGTTCCCTTATAAGCAAGCATTAGGCTAAAATTACATAGCAGAGAAATGCAGTTCTCTATCACCAGAACAGACACACATATGACTTCATTTTGTTGATCGACATTAAGGAAATTACAAACACGTCTTAATTATCTCTGCCCAGGACAAAAAGGAATATGCCAAATACGTAAGTAATTTAACAACTTTTGTGGATTACAACATCAATTGTATTGCCTCCAAAGCTGTTTGTGTCAACACCAAAGTAGGAATGGAATTGCCACCCTTAAAGCCCTCAGTTTTCTTCAGCTACATGTTCCAGCCAGTTAATTTTTTTAACACACCACAATCCAACTGTTACATTCTGATAACACCTAGGGCCACTAATTAAGGGCTTAGTTTGACTGGCAAGGTACAGACTTGTTCCAACCAGATGCTCCCTGCCCCAAGGAGCCTGCTCGCAAGCAAAGCTTAGAAAATAGACACCTACACTTTAGCCACTACACAAATATGCAAGGGCACAAGAGTTGAAGAGGGATTTGGAAGAAATGCATTTGTGTGAGAAACCTCTGCCCCAGGTTGCAGAGATGAACAAGACATTTCATTTGTAGAAAGCTCACTGCATTGGTTGGAGAGTACTTCTAAAGGCTCAGTATCTGTACTCCATCACATAAACCCACATGCAATCCCAGGATATGCATTTTAAAAGATCCTTGAACAATTTGACTTACAGTTCAGGAAGAGCTTCTCAGGGCTAGCAGTCCAAAACTATGAAAGAAAATAATAAAAAACTGTACTAGACTAATACTGGACAACCAAGAAATTCAGGCCTCTCTCACTTTCCTTATCTGAAGCATTTCAATGCAGTATGGGACAACCCCCTGTTCTCACTCTTCTGTCCCACAAAGTCTGCTCTGGAACAGACCCAGTTGCCAGCTGTTATCAAAGATGAGCCCTAACCTGTAAAGTCAGATCTGCTTTTGGCTCTCAATTTCTAACAGCCAGCCAAACACTGGAGGTTCCTGAATTGGACCTAATCTCTAGCAAATAAGAGCAGTCCACTGAAGCAAGAGGTGGAACAGGCTGAGACACAAGGCTCCAATTCACAACCCCTTCTTGGATTTAGCTGCAGCGGCTCAAGGACTCTAAGCCAATGCACTGGACTATGAACCACAACAGCTAAGGAGCAGACATGCTGCCACAAAGCTACCCTCGCTACAGGAGCACGAGTGTTCAGTGGGGAGACAGTGAGGTCAGCAGGACCAGTTTTCCAGAGCTAAGGGTTCAAATTTGAACCCTAACTACCACATTTTGCAGCCCAGCCACCCTTACTAGAAATTGCTGGCAGCACACACTAACCCAACAGCGGGTGAAATGGCCATCAGTCAATCCCTCCCTCCTCATTATGATGATTTCTGGTGAAAGGGCAATAAAGGGACAACCAACTTCCTCAACAACACCAGCACAGACCAGCAAGCCTCTTGAGTCAAAGCCCTCTGAGCAGCCTTAGCTGTCAGCTGCCTGAAGACCAATTTTAGTAAAGAAAAAGTCCATTACATCAACTCCCAAAGCTTGCATATCTCCTGGTTTCACTTACAGGAGGCAGTGGCAGCCTCTCAGCTTCCCCAGGTCGGGGAAGACCTATCACAGCCACACTAAACCAATTCAGAACACATGGTACCAAGATGAGATCTTTACAGTGGGCAGAAATTTAATGCTGAAAAGATTCCCAAAACTTGGATGACAATCCAAGGTTGGTCAAACCTCCCAAGTTTACAAAAATGAGTTGACAATTTACCCAAAGACAGTCTCCTGGGACTTGGTCTAATGATAATACTGTTGCAAGCTAGAAATGTAACAGCAACTTGCTGTCCCTTGAATTTGGGAACTTACAACAAAGGCAATAAAGTGCAAAAGAAAGTGGGTAATGAAGGAAAAGAGCAGCTAAGCACACCATTTAAAACTCAGAAAGCTCTTGGTTTGGGCAACAGATGCAGACAGTTCTTCTATCAAAATCAGTTGCTCATTCTCCACTTACACTACTACAGACCTGATTTTATGCTCACACCTATCTTTTCACCAGGTTTCAGTGACAGCAGACTGGATCTTTTAAATAATGCACGTACCATACATGCCAGAATAGGTACAGACCTGCACAGACGCAGACCAATGTAAGGAAGTTGAGAACACAGAAGTCCGGTCCACGCCTGGCAGCCCCACATCATCTGAGGGCAGTAGAGGGAGATGGTACAGGACACTTGGCTTCGTCACAGGATCCATGCACAGTGAAGCCATGGGAAGATCCCACACCACTCAGCACTTGGGACACCTATCCCATGTCCACACCTGGAGGAACTCTGGCACAACACCTAAGACAGAGCACTGCATGCTCAGTTAAGCAATTAGTATGCTGGTACAAGGCTCAATCAAGACCAGGCAGCTGCACTTAGTCCCCAAAGGCCTACAAAATATATATAAACCCAGAATTTGAAAGTCTGGCTTTCTGCCCATACACATGTATAACCAGTCATCGTACCACTCCCCACAGTAGGCTGCAGCAATACCTCTGTCTAAGCATTAGCCTTGCAAGAAACAGTGCAAGCTTAAGTCTCTCTTCTATGTTGAGCCTGCAAAAATGCAGACCACCTGTTTGCAGCATGAAACCTTGGCACTAATATGAACAAAATGGCTGCAGATACCCACTCTTGCAGGTTTTCCTGCATGCCCCCAAGCATCCTGAAGGCTGTATACACCCCCAAGAGCTCTCTCCAAAGATTCTCTCCATTTCACAACAAAAAGCTCCAAGAGCCACACAATAAAGCTAAAAGGAGGCAATCACAGCCACAAGGCCCCAAAACAGTGTTCAAAAGAAATCCCTCACTGCCTCTGCAGAGAGATTCTGTACTTAAACAGTCCACTACAACCCAAAGCACTGTCCTTATTTTATTTCCAAAAAATAAAATCTAAGACTACCTGCCTCAAAAACCACAGAATGTGCAATCCCCGCAGAAAGAAGTACACAGACACTGCAAACTCTGAGGAAATATCAGCACCGCTTCTTAACAAAGTTGCCATCTGCCTGTCCAGAGTGACTGCACGGAAGTGCAGCCACACGGCAATCCGCCTCTGTGTAACACATACAAAAGACTCCGCTAGAGTCTGGTACACGGATCCCCAGCCCCCAGCTCGGGCAATGAGGGCTGCTACTTTTCCCAGATCCCTTCTTTGATTTTGGGCCAGGCACTACACTTCCAGCAGTACTGACGCCAATCCAGAGTAACTCTGCTGATTTCAGGGGGTATCCCTTGGTTCACAACACTTTCACCAAATCAGGATCTGGTAGTTTTTTGTAACTCACTCATCACAACTCCATTTTTATCCCATTGCATATGGCTCAAAAATTCTTTCTTGCATTTGGCAAGAAAGGCTTAGATATTCCTTATCCTGAATTGGTGATCCTCATTTTTCTAAGAAAGGATGTAAGCTGTGTCTGGAAATCAATAGTGATACGACAGAGTGCAAACTTCAGCTCAGATCTCGGCCTTTAGGACCAGAAGGGAGAGAAATGAAAATAAGCTGAAAGGCATTTTAGGCAAATCACATTTGTACAGTGCCTAGCACAGTGGGGTTCTAGCCTGGCAAGGGCTGGGAGACTACAGATTGGACACATCCAAAGGTAACTACACAGACAGGCAAATGCCTACGTATTTAAATGGGAACCCCGTTAAAAGCAAACATTTCTAAATAACAGACAGCTATATCTGCCTTTATCCACCTCTCCATATTATCTGTTGGGTTGTGCAGAGTAACTCCGAGAGCAAAGGAACAGGACTTCAGTAACAAGAATACTGCCTAGGCCAGTTCCTACTGAGCACACTGGCTGAGAGGAAACTGGTCCAGCATAATGAACAAGTTACTAGCTTCCCAAGACCCCGTTATTAGCCACCTAAAGGGTGTAAAAAAACAAACGAGACAAGACCAGGGCTTCTTACCTTTAGCTGGAAAGGTTGAATTTCGTTCAAACTCTGGTTCCTGAGCTTTTTGGTGAGGATTTTCAGCATGGTACAAATCCGAGGAGCCAAGAAAGGGTTAAGCATACACACACGCACGCATCTACATCTGCCGAGCCGCCGCTACGCTTGGAGGAGCTCCGCAGCGCTTGCATGCAGCACCCCCAGGTACGCCGCGGCGGGGGGCGGGGGGGAGGCTCCGGACAGCCCGCCTCCAGCTGTGCCCCTCTCTCCTCCGCACTCCGTGCTACAGCCCTCCGCGGAGAGAGGGAGAGGGAATCCCCTTCCAAAGCCTAAAGGAAAAAAATAAATGCCAAACTTCCTTTGCTTTCCACCCCCTCCCCGGTTACGCTTCAGAAAGGAGGGAGGTACCAGCTGGCAGCGTGCTGCGAGGGACAGGAGACGTTCGGCGCAGAGTATGTATTAAGGGACGGCAGAGCCCCCAGGCTCCGCTCATGGCAACGCTCCCGCTGCCCCCATCAGCCCCAGGCGGGCATCGCGCCCCGAGCCCCTGCTCCGCTCCGCCCCGCTCGCACCGGGGCCCCGCACCGCCCCGCGCCCCGGCCTTCACCTATTTTTCCCCCAGTTCACATCAAATTGAAATCACTATCCAGTCTTATGACTCCAAGTTACCATACGTTGTTATAGGTACTTCTGGTTCCTGTACTGTATGAATACAGAAAACCAGGGAGTAATGCACATTAGCAGATCGCTAGTCTAGCATCCTGCCTGCAGCAGGGAAGAGTCAAATACCAGATGAAAGCAGAAATCCTCCATATAGATACACAATAATATAATGTTAGCTAAGAATTACTCTTGATTCCTAACTGATAATCAAGGTATATTCCAAAGCCTGACAACTGAGAATCTCTTATTATTTTCTTACCATAATGAATGCCACTTAAAAAGAGTTGGTGGGTTTTTTATATAGAGCCAAATTCCCCAGACCTTTATTCATTCCTCACTCTGGCACTGGCCTGCCTCGTAATGGTCTGTAAGATATGATCCATAAGCCACAGTCAGCTTAAACAAATGGGCATGATTGCTTTCCCATATTTGAACTCTCCAGGTTCAAGGGCTCAGCTGTGTGTATTGGGACAGATGTAGCTGAAAAGGCTCCCTGAATCAAAGAAGAGCAGCACTTGAAACACCTCACAGCCTCTCCCTGGACTCGCACTGCCCCACCAAGGCACAGAACAGCAGTGGTGGCCACAGCCTGGTGGTGGGTTTCTGCCAGGCTGCCAAACCTGTGCCGGGGCCAGTGCCGCTCACAACAAGTGGCAAAAGCAAGTGCTGATGAGGCTTTGTCATGGCACTTGGGATGTGAGAGAAACTAATCCTGTAATTCCTTGTATTAACTCTGCTTCTGCAGTCTTTGCCTACATGTGTTTCAGCAGACACCTGCAGAGCAGCTGTTTATTTCTTTCTTTGTATTTCATACAACTAGAATAGCCAGGAACACCAACTTCGGTTGCACCCAGGTCTTTTTGGGGTCACGTTAAACACACCTGCTCCCAGTGTTTTCTCAGACTGCATAGCCATGAGCATCTCTGTCCCAGGAGGCTCAGGAGAAACTCACACTCTCAAGTTCCCCTCCAGCTAACCTTGCTCCTCGCACAAGTGAAGCACCATGGCCTCCTTCTCGCTCACAGCTGCCATGCCAGGAGCAACTGACAGCTCACAGGCTCCACTGATCCCCACCATCCAGCATCTCCTCTGAATGAGGCACAGCGACACACTGCTGCAACCAGTGACAAGCAATTTAGCAGGCTCCCAGAGGAAAAGAAGCCCTTGCAGAAAGCAGAGCTGCAACTTACTGCTGCAACTGTTGTCTTATGCAATCCCTGCCCTGAGGATGAGGCTTGACGTGCTAGATGGGTTCTCAGTAGAGGATAAGTCACGCTGATGCATTGTATACTGAAGAGAAAGCTCCCTGAGAGGTCTGGAGGTGTTGCGCCTCCACACACATACAGGTTGCAGAACACTACCAAGTAACTTCTATCCAAGGACAGCAAAGTATTTTCCAGAGGTAAGTAATAGTATTATTCCCAAGGGAGAAAACTAAGACAGAGGAAGGTTACTTGACTTTCTGAAGGTCACTGAGGAAAGCTGGGGAAGATCCAAGAATAGAAGTGGTATCTCCTGGCCCCTAGCTGTATGCTTCCAGACTGTAATCTAGCCTGTTACTAGATCGCACTGCTGGAGCTATGCAAAATTCAGTGGTTTCACTTCCCAAGCATCTCATGTGATCACTTTGCTTTGGTTTTGGTTCCTGTGGGTTTCTCGCCCTTGGAGTTTTCATCTGCCTACTGGCTTCAAACCAAATCTCAAACCTAGTCCAAGTTTCCTCTCTTCACATGATAAAAACATGAAAAATGCATTGCATAACATGTAGGGTAAGCCCACATGCCTGCTTCAGCATTGCTTGAAGATGTCTTTAAATTCCTCCTGGCCAGACCAGGAGCAGAAGGGAGGCAAGTGGCAAATTTCCCCTGCAAGAGCACATGGCATTGTGGTGACAGGGAGAGGGCAGGGGGGCATGAGCTGAGCCAGAATCCCAGTTCACTTCCACAATACCCACATGTTCCTGCCTGCTGCTGCCATGGGGAAGGCATCCGTGGAGAACTGCCTTGGCTCCTGGTGTGCCACATCTTAACTTCTCTTGGAGACATTCCTCTGTGGGAATCCCAGCCAAAGTGAATAGGGGAGACAGGCAGAAGGAGTGAAGACAATGCAGTGAGTGTTAGTTTAATCCACAGATTACCTCTGAGCTGTTTCCCGTTGTGCTCGGAGGACAGTCTAATACCTTCTGCAGTTTTTCCTGCCCAGAGTGTACCACTGACTCTGCGAGATGCAAGAACAGGAATGTGCGTGGGTGCAGTAGGCCCCATTAGGCAGGCCTGGCCAAGCCTTCTCAGAAGGAAAGAGATTATATTTTCACCCCTTGAGGTCACCTGGGGATTTGCTCGGCCGATCTTGCACACTGAACTGCTCTTCAGCCGCCCTGTGCCATGTCAGGATCAAGCTACATCTGTGCCGATGCTGTATTAACATCTCGATGTTGAAGGCAAAAAAACCCACCAAAACAGCCAGGGAAGAGGTTCAAGTGCCATCTGTTGGGGATCTCTCCTCATTACACCAAGGGAGATGGATGAGCTGGAAAAAAACCATCCACCCGCTCTCACTTACGACCATGACTGGGTGATGCCCGAGACGGACACTAGAACTACAGCCAGCACCAGGCACAGAAGGAACATCTGTCTGCCAAGGGCAATGCTAAAAGAGAATATCAAGGCAGAAGGACGATGAAAGCTGAGCCTAGAACTTGCTTGGAGGGAGATGTGGGCCCAAAGCCAGGCACATTTTTGAATGTTGCCACAGAGCAGGGCTATCCACCTTCTGTCTCAGCCACAGGCCACTGTATGTAGATAAAAGCAGGGGAGAAGGACAGTACACAAAAATAATGAGAATTGGTCCCAGAACAGTATGACTGACAAAACAGGCAAAGGGCACTGAGCTCTATCCCCAAGCCAGCCACCAATCACTTATGGCAGGTACCACAGGCATTTTTCCTCCCAGTGTATTAGTTGATGAGCCTGCAGGCTCCTCCTGAAAGGATCATCTCTGACTTTGCCTCTGTGCAATGTTTGCCCTAACACAGGCCAACCTAAGCCAAGTCCCCACCATACAAACCATAAACATCCCATGACACAGCTGCAGGGGTGAAGTTACAAGGCACACAGGCTCTCCAAGCTCTGGCCATGTGGGCCTTTATAGCAGGAGTGTGGGGCAGGCAGTTGGGAAACATCGCACATGAGATCATGAAGGAGCCCTTCACTAAGGCTATAGGCACCCAAAGGTGAGAACTGGCTACTGTTACCTAAAGGGCTACAGAACAGAGCAGCTACCAGAACTGAGGGAGCTGCTGTCATGCAAGACTTTGGACATTCAAGGAGCATGAGGAAGGGCTGGTCAGAGATGCCTGAGACTGAGAGCTATCTGTTCTCTTTTAGATATGTCTCTTTTAGGCACATCTAAGTGATGAACTACCTAGGGTCTATGTTTTTGCAGATGCAATTTTTGACTGCCACAAAAAGAGTAAAAGAAGCAGAAAAGAAATTGAAGAGAAAGGTGTTCAGAAACTACTGATCCCTGCTATTTGATAGAGAAACAATGACCATGCCAGCATAGGCCACATGACAGCAGTAAGGAAAAGAGATGATCCTCTTAACAGCACTGCTGGGCAGCTCCATCTCTATTATAACTCCCTTGCTGCCCATTCTCTCCCTGAAAATTGCTGGGGCCAGCTGGAAAGTCAGCATGTGGCTGATAGACTGAGAACCAGGAAGAGCAGGATAAACATGGCCATTCACAGTTCTTCTTTAGCTGGTACTGCAGACATTTGTTCCTCTGCAAACGGGCCTGGAAGGGGCCCCACAACACCCACTTGGTAATGGGCTGTTTGGACAGGACACACAGGGCCAACAGTTCAGCTGGGCCAGCCAGAAGCTCCGGGGTAGCAGGGCAGCCTGGCCCCTCAGAAACAAGCAAGAGAAGTGATAATTTCTGCTTTAGAGGGCTTCTTCCCTCTAACCCCTGGAGAATAAGTATCATCTCATCTGGCTAAAGGATCTCTGACCTTTTTCCCTTCAAATACAGTGACTGTAAGTCACTCACGTCTCTTCTGTGTCAAACGCTTTCATGAGAACAGTCCTCAGCTGGGGTCACACAGTGGTTGTGAGCCCTGCCATGTAGCTAGCCAGGAGCGGCCAGTCCAAAGATGAAAGAAACATCCAGTCTATACATCCTAACCCCCTCAGAGAGGACTAACCAACTCATCAGCTGCCTCAGACTTCAGGTCTTCAGGTCAAAGACAAGAAACCTCAAACTACAATGCTGAGAAGAGCAGCATCAGAGAGAAAGGTCCCAGGTTCCTGCAAAAGTGGGAAACTTCTTAAGGAAATGAGTACAGTCAGTCTGTGCTGAGGAAGGGAGAAAATATTATTGTGGTTGTTAGTTTGATGGGGGAAATTCCTTTCTGGAACTTCCTGGCTGCCCAGACAGCCTCTGGGCTTATCCCAAGTGTATAAATAAAATACAGCTTTCAACATCAAAGAGGTTTCCCAGTTCCTCTAGCTCGGCACCCCATCTACATCTGTATTTGTGAGCAGTTTCAGTGCTTCTAAGAAAAGTAAAAAAAAGAGACAGCTTAGTATCACCAGGGAAAGAAATCCCTGGAAGAATTTCCAGGAGGTGCAAGTTTGAACTTGCTGCCTTGCAGCTCATCCCTACCGTGGGCACGGTACATAGATGAAGAGAGCAACAGCCAGACTGCACCCACGCTGTACCCTGGTTGGGCCAGCCTGGGGGACTCCTGGCCACAGGGCCTCACTGTGAGCCTGGCCAAACCTCTCAGTTTGCCATCAGATGATCAGAAAACACCAGTCAGGCACTGGTATTGTTTCACAGAAGTGCTAGGACTACCTTCAGCCTACCTGCATTCCATCTCCAG